ATTTGCATGAGGCACTTCAGTCCCCCCCCCCCTTTTTTTTTTTTGCTTGCTTTTGCATAAAGAAGCATCTGTGTCCTAGGCCCTTCCCCCAGTGACCTTTTGTTTTCAACATGGCAGGATGCTGCAAAGGAAGGACCTGAGATGCAAAAACAGGCACAGCCTCTGTTCAGTGATCTCTCACCAAGGGGAATATTAGCAACTACTGTTAGTTACTATTTCTTCGTGTGGCTCAGCCAGCATGTTTTATGTAAAGTGCTACAGAGGTTACATAGGTTGTTTTAAGACAGAAAGTTTAAAGGTTTAATCACTTGTTGCCAAAAAAATATAAATAACGAAAACCTCCATTATCCAGGACTTGACCCACAAGGAGACAAGAAACAAAGCAAATGGCACTAACCCCTCCTCTACCATGCAGTTGGCTTTAACCTACAAGGGGAATGGGTCTCCCTTTTGTTCAGGCATCCAGCAGGCACAAGCATCTGGCAGGGACGGGCTCCAGGGATTTACACTGAATCAGGGCTACAGAATCTGGAAGCACACCCCAGCAAAGGCAGGCTCAGAGAAACAGGGCACCCTCAGCATTACCTGTCTATATGTGGGAATTGTCTCCAGATATACTTTCTGAGTCCAAGTCTGCCAGCTCCGTGTGGCCCTCGGGGGCTGTTTGGCTCCAGCTGTCTGTACAGTCCGAGGCAGCGTCATCCTCGCCCACCGTCACCTCCACCCAGCTGACCTCTGCCGGCTCCTCGTTCTCCTCGCTGCCGTGGCCATCGTGGCTGTTGCACTCCAGCCTGTCCACACCCTCGGCTTGATTCCCCAACAAAGAGTCTTTCAGTGGTTCGCAGTCTCTTTTTGCTCTCACCACCGGCTTCCCCCCATTCTCTTCATTCAGTTTTTTGTGCTCCTGGTAATGCTGTCGAGACACCTCATTACCATTCTTTGGACTCTCACCGTGTTTTGAGGTCTTTTTCTGGCTTTGCTTGTTACGACCATCACCAGCATACTGCTGCTGGTACTGGTCAATCCACTTAAGTGACCCTGTTCTTAGCGAAGACCTGTTTTCCTTGAACCAGCGAACTATTTCAGTTCTTGTGAGCCCAGTCTGAGATGCTAACTGGTCATACTCCTGGGGTGATGGCCACTGGGTCCTTGCAAATGTGCTTTTCAATAGATGAATTTGCTCTTGTGTTTTCTTCAGTGTGGTGGAGGACCCAGATAAAGCACCAGGGAGTTGAGAGCTACTCAGAAGTTCTGCCTGGCTTATTGCACCATTGGGAGTTCCTTGATCCTTAATTTTTCTGTATGATCCCATTGAGTCCAAGACAGCTTGCTCCATGCTGTCCCTTATCTTTCTCCGCTCAGAGAACCATGAATCTATCTCCCTCCTACTCAGCTTAGTCTCCACTCGAAGCCTGTCCAATTCTCCCTGGGTAGGAAAAGAGCATTTTAAGAAACTCTCCTCAAGGGCCCTAAGCTGCTCTTGAGTTTTCTCTTTGAATCTCTGGGGAGTGAAATCTGTGTACGGGTGAAACGACCGGCCATGTCGCCCAGCTGAAGGTGCTATTTGATCTTTCCCTAAAGCATCACCAGGAATTTGCACAATGCCCCTCTGACTTCTGTACCTGTGGTCACTGAACCACTTCTTGATCTCACTCCTGGAAAGACCTGTTGCCTCTATAAGCCGGTAGACTTCTGCATCGTCAGGAAACTGGCTTGCCATGAAACTGGCCTTCAGCTCTGCTATCTGCTCCTTGGTCTTTTTCCGCTCGCTGGCCGGTGTCACAGGAACAGCAGTCAGCTTGGCAGGAATCTCAGGCACCTGAACTATGTGAGGACGCTTGGCCTCTGGGGCACTTGATAAGGTCTGTATCGTCCTCTTTTGCCCCTGGTTTGGGGCAACAGCAAGTGTAACTGGTGAACAGGAAACAGTTGAACCATTTGACACAGGAGTCAAAACCAGGCCAGTCTGGCCCAGTATCTGACAAGGCAAAGCTGTCTGTATGATAGGCTGTGGCATTTTTGCAGTTGCCAAAGGGGCTGGCAGGACAGTGATGGTCTGGGGAACTGCTTGGATAGTACCATTGAACATCTTCTTCCTTGCTTCCTCCACTTCTTCAGGAGACCAACTTATACCATGTTTCAAACGTTGTGTAGCAAACCAGATTCGGATTTGTTCTTCTGGATGTTTTGATGCTGCTGTCAGCCACGACAACTCTGCTTGTGTTGGGTAAGGAAACTTATTAAAGGAGTTGATCATGGTTGCATTAGTGTCCAGTGCAGAGTTGTATTTGGTGCTGTTCAGAGGGACTGGGACCTTGGGGACAAGGTTGATATTTGGTGGCAGCTGTACAGAGGGCATAACATGGGCTAACACATCATGGAGAAGGTCTCCATTTATACAGGCAATAGCTTCAGTGGCTTCAGTTATGATGCGGGGGAGAGCACCATCCGTGTGGTTTTCCATAACTCCCTCTTCTGACTTTTTAGATCCCTTCTTGGTTTCCCCTTTAGGCTTCCCCGGTTTCATCACTGGCACTTTGTTTGCACTGATTCCCCCATGAAGCGAATCATCACACTCTGCATTTTCTAGCCCACTGCTTGTGACAGTGCCATCGTTAGTGGTGGTCTCAATGGACTGCTCTAAAACAGTCTGATTATTGCGTTTAATTAATTTCAGTTTAAAGTTAGTCTCTCCTGGGTGGTATTTTGTGTTGTGGTCAGATAAAGAATCGTATTTTTTGGTTGTGAAGTTGCATTCAGCACAGACGTACAGGGGGTTGAGAATGACATTTGGATGCTGAGTGTCCACGTGCTCTGTGAATTCATTTAGGTTTTGTGTCGAGTAAGGGCAGTACTTACACTCATAACCGCCCTGGGGTTTCTTAGACTGATTTTCAGCTGGGGGCTTTGCCTCAACCACTTCGCAGTCTTTGACTGAGTTTTCTGAAGGCAAATTTTTTTTGGAGTCCTGCTGCAGTGCACCAGTCCCTTTGTCTTTAGGGGTCTCCACGCCCTCGGCACCTTCCTGCTCCATCACTTCAGAGGTTCGCACCATACAGGGAGTTGTGGACTTCCTTTTGCTGGCCATGGCAGCTGCTGGCAGTGTGTCGTTGTCCCAAATGGTGACTTCTTTTAACAGGGTGAGCAACCAACTCACTAGATCTTGCAAACAGCTCCAAACTTCCCTGACTATTTGACTGTTTTGTTTAAAGAATTTCTGCCCTGGCTGTGACCATCAGCTCTGCCAGCAGACCTGTCAGCTGCATGACACCTGTGAAACAAAGCACATGTTGTTAGGCACTGATCAATACAACACAGATTTAGCAGAAAGCCACAGCTCAAGGTGTGTAAATTTGCAAGGCACGTGCATATTTTGGATATTGCTGAATTCTTCCTCCTCTCCGTCATTATTTTAAGAGTCAAAAATCTCCCCACAAAGAATAAAAGCAATGGGTAATTAGCAATGAAGTGCACCACAGGAAGAAAATGACTGGAACAAATAAGATGAACAGACAGGGGATTTTAATTTCCACTAGACTCAATATGTTTAGTTAGGAAAAGAAGATACTGCTATAAATACTGCATCTTTTTATAGAAGCTGCAATTCTATTAATTACTATTTTGAAGCCTGCAGACTTGAAATTGAGTGTGATTTATATTAAACTTAATTACTTCCCACTGTCACTTACCTTGTAAATATGTCTACTAAATGATTGTGGTTACTAATGATGGGTGATTTCTAAATAAAGCTATAGTATAAGATCTGTCTTGGTTGTAAAAGTAATGGCAGAAAGAAGAGTTAATGCAGATCAACACTTCTGAAGGTCTGTGTTTTGAGAAAAGGTGGGCTCAAAGAAACTGTAGCAGGAAACTACAGCAGAGTTGTGGAGGCCTATCAAGTCTTTTCCAGAAGAGAAGTTTCCTTAAAACACCGCTTGTCACTCAACATTGACAGAAATAGCTACCAAAGGCCATGGAAGCCCTCAGATTCCTTTTAAACAAGGTCCCTTCCTGTGACCCCACTGATGGAGTCCCAACTTGTGCATGTCATTCCCTACAGAATTAAAAAAGCCAAACCAAAACATTTTAAAGCTTTATTTTTATGCTGAAGCACTTTTTAAAGTTCCCAAATGTGAGAATTCTGTAAAATGTAATTTTTGAAGGATTTGAGGCAAACATCAGTCAGAACAAGCACAAAGAAAAATTACACCACCATTTTTAGGATCTACCTGCACTCATCAGGACTGGATGGAGGGAAAAAGAGCAATTTAGTTGTCAAAAGAGTTTCATTAATCAAAAATAAGATTAAAAAGGTCACTTTCCTATTTGACAAGATGCTTTTTTAAATTTATCATTAATTCCAATTTTCTATTCTTCCTGATCAGATGGTCTCTGGCTTCATAATACTTCTATAGTCTTGACAGAAAATTCAGATTTAACAATCAAGAAGTTCTTGGAATTGAGTGGGAGACGCACTGGTGTTTCCGTCCTCCTCCAGTTTGTAAAGTGGAGATTTGCAGAGTGGGTCAGGCCTGCACTGAATTCTGCAGAAGTATTCTAAATGGAGAATTTGAACTAGAGATCCAACAGAAGATACCCCTACCCACTTCAGGGGGGACAGACTGGGTGATCTTTACAGATCATTTCCAAACCATGATCTCGTATCTAACCAAATGTCCACTTCCTTATTGTGAAGATTGTAAATGATAAGCTGCATCCAGATCCGAAGACACAACGATCTAACAAAATAAAATATCACTTCAGTCCCATCGGACACATCCAACATCAGCAGACGCTTTATAACCACCTGAGTGCTGTCCCTGTATCTGCTCCTCTTGCTTGAGCCTTGGCATGAGAGAAACTGTGAAAGCAGCCACCAGCTTCTCGGCTGTGTTTGCAGCTGAGGAATACTCTGCAGGTCTCCAGAGCATAGTGCTGCTCTGCCTGTCATATATCATACCATTCCTGTACATATGGAAACTCAGAGTGATATACTGCCAGAGGAAGCAGCTCCAGCTCTACGCACTCAAAGCCCAGCATGAAGCAATTCCCCGTACACAAAACACTCCATGTGCAAATTTGACATGCAACACCTTCACAGTAAAACTCAAGCTGTGCAACCCCAAACACACCATGGAGAAGACCCCATGCAGACACTATTTACTATGGTGCAGATGCCTCTGCAGAACTGCAGGGTGCTTTGTGTTCACAGCCACTGGCACCCCTGCCCCTCCCAGCCCTGACACAGCCCAGGCATGCTCCTGCACACTTGGTGAAGCACAGAGCATCTGGCTGACTTTCAAGGGTGCATTTAAGCTCCAGGTGCTTCCCTGGGAAACACAGCATATTTGCTGAGCTCTGTGAAATAGGGATGGGGCTGCCCACAGGCTTATAGCTCTGCCTTGGTCAGGATGACCCAGTGCTATTCCCCCTTAACCTAGGACCACCACCATTGTCACCACCACTCTTCAAAGCATTTGTCTGAGCCAACATTTCCTTTTCTTTTTCTTTCTGCCTTTTAATGATAAACAGAAGAACAGCGCCAAGGATGCCTGGTTTTCTGTATGTTTGTGCTGATTGACCATTAAACTGGATCACACTGAATGTTCTTCATGATTTCCACATATGCCTTCAAAATTCCCCTTCTACTTCACCTCACATTTGTCTGTCCACAGATATCTTGGCTGTGATCTGTGACTTGCTGCATCCCACCAGAGGTGGGATCCACAGCTAGAGACAAACAACTGTCCCAATGCCCATCTTCCTGATCACCTGTTTTCAACTGTGCTGGCAGAAAATTAGTTAGCTTTGAAGCTTCTTCCCTTATACCAAATTTGTCTGAAACAGGCCAAAAGATGAGAGACAGGGATAGAATAGGGTCTGTAAGTCCAGCTGGTGCTGGAAACAGGGTGAAGGTGATCAAGTCATCTCACTCCTCCCTGTAGATCCTGTAATATTTGTGATACTGACTTAGATGAGGGAAGAGAGGTGCCAGGCAGTGTCCTGGGCCAGGGTAATGAAAATGGAGCCATGGCTCCTGGGATGCTCCTCTGAGTTTTGCTCTCCCTCCCAGGCCACAGCTGCACCTAGTGGTCTGCTCCTGTTTTAATGTATGATTTCATGCAAAATTCATGTGGCAACATCAGCAAAAGAAAGAAAATTTGAAGGACATCAAAGACAGAGCAAAGCTTATTTATATTTCACTGAACTTCCTCCTGCCTCCACAGGAAGAAAAAGCTAGGAACATAAAGGAAAGTGATGGAAGAGGAAGAGTGGAGAAGGAGAAACACTAGGTTACAGCTTTGAATCAATCAAAGGTTTTTTAAAAGTCAGACTAAATGTTTTGAATTCCCCAGTCTCTAGAAGCTCAGCAAGCTCTCTGCTGCACCAAGCTCCCAACTCTTCTCAGGACAGGAGGACTGGTCTCAAACAAGGATGCTCCAATACAAAGGAAGGGCCAAGGTCCCTTCAAAACATACCTAAGTGTGTGGAAAGATGAAAAATTGTCTGCTACAGTTTTTCTAGAAAATTGTACAGATTGTTGCTTCTCTTCCTTCTTAATTTCCACAGAGTGGTTTTCTGCATGTCTAATTGCTGGCTTTCTAACCCCCCACTTTGAGTAGCTTTTTTTTTCTGCCACATGAGAATCACGATGCACCAAAGAAATCAAGCTCAAGTCAAATGCTTCTTTTTAGAGGTCAATTAAAGTAATAAATGACTTTTAGTCTAAGATGTATAGTCTTGGGCACTCATAACTAGCTACAGACTGTCCCTTTGACCCACACCCTAAACGATGGGGAGGAGAAGCTCAACACTTACCCGAGCAAGAAGGATTTATTGGGATCTCCATGCAGTAGCTCATCCAGGACCTCAGTAAGGATGTTGTTTGGGATAAAGCAATACAAGGTTCCAAAAGAGGGCTGGACTCCCCCCCCAGACACATCCTTGGGAGGTGCATCATATACATTTGCAGGGACTGCCACAGCTCATCCCAGAACATTAGAGAAAGCATCAAGAGTATCTCACAGCTTTCAAACATGAGCCACTTGCCAGAAAACCAAAGCCCCAGCAGACAGCTTTAAATATGCAGCGTTGCTCCAGTCAAAACTGGTAAATGATGCCACTTCAGCTCCTCCAATGCAATGGCTTAGCAATCCTGATGGGAACCTGAGCTGCACTTTGTCTCCTGAGCCCTGTCCACAGGACATGCATTCCTTCAAGCGGCAAAATCCACGTCTGATAGTCAATGTGGGGCCGCACCACAGTCACATCAACCTCTATCCTTACAGCTGGTCCTGTTATCCTTATATTTTGTTATGGGCAGGACCATGGACAAATAACCTCTTTTTTTTGGGCTGCTGCCACTGTGGAGTGCCCACAGTGCAGGGTCAGCAGCTGCCTTGTGAGCTCACTGTGTACTCACTGCACATGGGGAGGGAGGACTATCCTGATCCCTCCAGCTCACCTGCCACATCTCTTGTTTGCCTCCCCATACTGCAGGGGGTTGAAAGGAAAAAAAAAATAAATCTCATTTTTTGAATTTTCTTTTTAAATGAGCAAATACACAAAGCAGCAAAAGGCAACCAGGTGAAAAACAAAAGTGTTTGGCTCCAAGCAGAATCTGTCATTGTGAATGAGGTTGAAACCAAACCACAGAGAACCTGTGTGCAGGAACAAAAACTTTCCATTTGCTTTGCTTCAGCAAAGCCATCCAAGACAGGAGCACACAAGTCAGAAATGATGCCTTCTTTTAAACTTATCTCTCCAAAAGTGTGCCACAGCACTTATGATTGAAGCCCTAACCAGTCTTAATTTCTGAAATTTGTTTAAATAATGAAATAATCCAGCCACAGTCCTTGCATCTGACAAGAGAATGAAGTGGGATCTGTGCATGACTGAGGAAATGCCAGATTTCCTATCTGGTCACCTGGCCCCAGACTGGGGAAACTGCAGAGAGTCACACAGGAAAAATAAACTATGCTTTTAGGCCTGGCTGGCACTGGAAACTGCTTGCCTGTGGAGCAATGCCACCTTCCATCAGCATAAGGTAACTGTACAGCTCAAGCTAGGGGACGATGAAAACAAATCCAAAAGTTTTCTCTTGCTGAATACTGAAATCTTTTCACTTTCTCCCATCTTTAACCTTGTGCACACAGCTAAATTTTTCACCCTACTTCCACCACAACAAAAGGCAAATATTTGGGTAGAAACTGAACTCCTTTTCTGCAATGCTGTTCCCACAGGCTCCTCCAAGGTGGTGGCAGAGCAGGA